TACTCTCTTGGAAAAGTACCAAATATTCTGTATAATTTATTTCTTCTTGTTTCTTTCTGCACTTTTGCAGACATAAAAGACGTCTTGATAATATTTCCCTTGAGTATCTTAATGAGCAGTTGAGCTTAGATTATTCTAGCTTTCATTTCTGGATGAAATTCCCTGAATGAAATGCGATATTACGCAAAATTGGAAGTAAGTTTACAAAAATAGCACATTACCTTTTGTTACATTTTCCCTATTCATGGTTAACATTAGTTTTTTACCTTATCGGTTTAGATAAGAAGGTAAAATCATGTTAAATAAGTGTTCTCTGGCTGATACTAAAGACATCATAGGAAAACTGCAGTTGTTAATACTGAATGAAAAAGGGAAATAATATAAATAAATAGAAAGAAGAGATAGTCTGCGTGTATTTTCCGAAAACCTTCAATTCAAAAGTAGTCATTTTCTGTGTCAAGGTATAAGGTATTTCTCCTGCCTTCTTAGCATGCCTTCGTGGTGTAATAGTCAGCATACTCGACGCGTATTCTAGAGGTCCGTGGTTCGAGTACCGGCGAGGGCATCGCTTATTTTTAATTTCTTCTGCTTCAAACAATACCTAATGTTTCTACAGTGGCGCCGAACTAAAGAAGGTGGTGGATGATGATTCTCCACCGCCAGGATTTGACGATTGGATTCCCTAATCCTCAGTTGGCCTTTAAAAGGGGGGTATATAAGTTATTTCTCTCGCCTTCTTAACATGCTTTCGTAGTTTAGTGGTCAACACTCTGGACGCGAACCAGAGAGGTCCGTGGTTCGAGTCCCGGCGAGAGCATTGCTCATTTTTCATCTCTCCTGCTTTCAAAATAGCTTAAGGTCTCTACAAATGACACCTTTTTGTCGCTTTGAGAAAAATAAGTATTGGAAATATTCTTTTTGTTTGTTTACTTTACAACGCATGTAGATCGGAAGAATCAGTGAACTGCTTTGTGTACTAAAATGATATATAATGTTTATTTCATTTTAACTTATCATCGTACTTTTTTAGTATTAAGATCATTAAATTTTAGCACTTTCAGTTTTCTATCATAGGAATGCTATTTGAATAATAAATTTTTTAAATCTTAAAATGAGCTTTAATATATTGTTTTTATATATTACTCCCTCCGCCCTGAAATGATTGTCCGATTTCTAAATTTGCATCGGATTAAGGAAAGACGGACGGGAAGAGTGGTTTTGAATACGTTACCTTCTACTTTTATGCAATAGAATTTTGGTGTTATATGTTCATTTATTTTCATTCTTTTTCGTAGATCTATGGGAAAGAAGCCCAATTTAAGGTCTGAAGAAAGAAATGCAATTTTACAGGAGGGGGAGCCTGGTAGCACCGCACTTCCCATCTGTGCTAATAAATGCAGACACGAGCAAATTGCAACATATCAAGAAGTAGACGGGAGATAATGCCGCAGAACTGACACGTTGATAACCTCAAACGTGACAAGAAGAGGCTCCTTCGTTCATGTTCACTTGGAGGCAAACGATGAACGACGTCCTACGCACCATGCCTCACAGTATAGCAACATACCCAACTAGGTTAAATGGTGGCTGTCTTCTTCCCGAAAAAGGAAAATTAATGAAAATCTCAAATTTTATGGAATTAATCTAGCTTCGCCTAAGCAAATCCCTTGCATTGAGGTGATCCTCAAAAATTCTCTCTCTCATGGACCCCACGCATTGCATCTATTATCCAGAAGTTTCGAGAGTGTAAAGCTACACTCTATCTCTTAACTACTCGAAATAGAGTTCTGTCTATTGATAATTAGTTACTTATTGACAAATCCATTCTGCGTCCCATGCTGTGTTATACCTGTCCAGTCTGAACTTATTCTTTCAAAACAAACAGAAAACAACTTCAAACTGCCCGTAATAGCATACTAAGGCAAATTATCGATTCTCCATGGTATACTTCGAACAAAACGATACATAAGGAACCAAAAATTACTCAACTAAGGGCCTATTATCATAAACTGGCTAAACGTTTTCAGGAAAGCCAAGAGAAAATCAGCAGTTCTGAAATAAAAATCTGCAACTATGATTTTAATAATTCACATAATATCAAAAGGCCAAAGGCCATCCTAAATTTACAAATAATTGTGTAAAATACGTGTTTATATTGTACATATTGTATTGTATTAAGTTAATATCCTGTACATTTCTGAATTAGCTGTATATATATATATATATATATATATATAAAAGGAAGAGTCTGTCTGTCTGTGCGTGTGTGTATGTGTCTTTCGTTTGTGCTACGCGTAAGTTAATAGACCCAGGGCTACGAAATTTGGTACATAGTTGCATCTAGACAAGAGCCAGTGCACCTAGACAAGAGGGTTTTTCAAAATTCGAATGAGATTTTTTTAAATTTTATGTTTTTTGATGAAATCGCATCAGTTCGATAATTGATGTATCACTGTTGCCATTGTTGCTGATATCAGCACTGTTGCCACTCGGAAAAAGGAGGGCTATAATTCTGTGCAGTTTTTAAATTAAATATTTTTCTTGGATACTCGACGTTTGTCGAGAGAAGGCAACCCGAAGTTAATTTATTTATTGGGATAATTAATATTTGTATTAAGGGATATTGCTTATTTAATTGTAATTTTTTATATGTAATACATTTTTATTGAAATTTGTGGGGTTTTTTTTAATATAAAGTCATTAGGCAGAGTAAAATTCTGTGCAGTTTTTTAATTTAGTATCTGGTATCCCTTTTAGGCATTTTTCTGATACATTTGAAAGCCAGACGAAGGCTGACCGCGTAGCGGCTAGTAATGTATATACGGAATCATTTGATTTTACTTACCTTATTATTGCTTAGTCAGTATTCCAATGACCTTCTGTTTAATGAATTTGCAAGTTCTTTCTCTACACTTTGCGTGCTTATTAATTTAATTGATAAGAAAATTTTGAAATTTTTAATGGGGTTCGATTTGGGATAGGGCTTAAAACCCAGGCCCCCTGTTGTTTTTCGCCGTTTCGTGGTCCGTAGAAGAATAGCCCAGATAGGCAAGAGCATATGTTGGGGCCACAACTCACCATCACATCAAAGCACAGGGCACGCAATCGCGCCTATAACAGGGACTCAACTGCGACAACCAATCGCGTGTCCTCATATCCTTTTAAAAAAGCTCAGAGGAAAGTGTGTAGCGATTCCGCAGTTTAAATATCCGAGGCGATCTTATGGGAGCATTTTTGCTGCAGAGGAAAAGAATTTAACCTCTACGTGACATACCCACGATCGAACCCCAAGGTCATTTGCCATCTTCAAGAACATGAAGGTCTCTTAGCACCTCACTTTTTATCTGTGCTAATAGATGGCGACACGAGCAAACAGTAAAATCCTAAGGACCGGAACGCCACAACCACATGTTGATCATGCAGTTGTCCTAATTTTCTTCAATATAAGAAGTATTCGACTCCTGCCTTCGCAGAGACGTTCTTCAGATTTCGCACTATTCGGAAACGTATGGTCAATGGGTAGAGAGAGAATCAGCCGCTGCCTGGAAGTACAACAGATGAACTCTGGTATAGGATTGAACCTGCAATGACTGTAATATCCAAAAATGTTACCCAAAATCTTTACAGCTTCATGCCCAGCCATATAATAGCTTCCAATGTTCCCCAAGGCTGATGGCTGGGATACTGGTTTCTGAATTTCTGTACCTCAAGTTTAATCCATCCATTATAATGTATTTGTGAAATAAATGTGACTCCGCTAATTCTTTCTTTCACGGTTTAGCAATTTTAAAGGCCAGCAGTGTGTATAAGTATTTCCTTTTTAATCATACTTTTAATGCACACGAATGCCGAAAATTGCCGCAGCCCACCAGCTGTCGAACGGTAAAATCGCTGAACACTGGTAGTTCCGACTTGAGTTCGAGTCTAGACTGTCGAGTTGGCTACACTGGCGTTGTAACGTGAATACGAGCCAGGTTTTCTTAAAACGTCTTCCACGAAATCCTTCCCCAAACACATTCCCTTAAGCAGATACCTATAGTGTGCTTTTCCATAATCATTTAAACCAAAACCAAACCGAAAATTTCCGAAACCATTACATCATGTATTTTACTTATTATTACATTATGTTTGAGCACTTAGACTGACACGTTTTCTTCTATAGTACAGTTATCCGCAAACAATCCAGTATTCTGCAAAAGTATCCTAAGCCAGCATGCCCTTCACTATTAAAGTCATACTTATCTGCTGTCATTTGGGAAAAGCAAATATTCCATAATATTTCCGTTTATCTTCTTTTTTCTGTAAAGAGGAAAATCCTTTGTGGAATTTTTGGTAACCGAAATGAGTGCTAATTTGGAATTTTTGTCAAAGATAAATGACCCAAAGCAACATTCACAAAGCGGTACCCTCCCAGAAAACAAGCCACTATTACGTATGTTTTTCGTCTTTCTCTTTCATTAAAAAATTTATATCTTGAAGAAATACCAATTACATTTCTCTTCAGTCCTGCTAAAGGTTAAACCCAAGAGAAAGAGAATAATCTCTTAGAAATAAACTAAAGTTTTTGGAATCATTAGCTTTATCGAAGCAGAAGTACAAAAATATCAGTAATGCCCTCGCTGGGATTCAAACTTTCCCCTGGACTTATCTATGTTAAACGGACGTGCTTCCAGTTCACCACGAAAGCACACGGCCAGGAACAAAAACAATCCTTTGCAGGACGATTCATACTTACAAGATGATGCACCGTTATAATTCTTTCAGAAAGTTTTCCCTTCAGTTTCAAATGTTTTGGGAATCATTTTATAATCATGAATATTATCATGACTCACTTAGATATTCCATGATAGAGACAGGAAAAAAAAAACATGTTTCCCTGTAAAAATTCTTCATCTTCCACAGGTTTTTTTTAAAAAAGGCTTGTGGAATGTATGTTAAGCTTAATAAAGGTAGGACGAATGTATAATTTAAAATGCCTGAACTAGATAAAAATAACTTACCAAGCCATCCTTTTTGATCTTCTTCCATACATAGCTCATGCTCTGCGCTAGGTAAAATATAACCTATCGCAAAGAGTTCTACGGCATCTGCTGTAAGCCCCAAGCCAGCAATAAGTAGCACCAGTAAGTGAAATGCTCCAAATCCCGCCTGTAACATTCAGCATCAGCTTATTACTAAATTAAAACTGATAAAAATATCACTTAAAATCTAAAGAAATAGAAAAATCTAAAACAGCTTGACAATAATAAGAGCAGTAAATATCGTTACATTAATTGGAATACTGGAATACCCATTTCTTAAAATAGTTTTATTTTATATATATATAATATTTGTGCATATATATATAAACACAAATTAAATATTTATGTTATTTATTAATTATATCTTTAGGTAATTTACATTTGCATCAGATACCTCCATTATCCTGCTAAATACAAATTAATTGAAATTCTGCTTGTATATAAAAATATTTGCTTCTTAAAAATCTTTCTTATTCAAAAAAGAATTATATATATATATATTATATAAACTTTCCAGTTTTTAGTATATGTATGCATGTAGTACATGCATCTAATATACATATATAAATATGTATGCAATACACCCAAGTAATTAAAATTCATTGCACAAGGTTACGTGTAAGGTAACGTAAATAACTGGTAAGGTACATGTTTAATTTATTCAGCCTTTTTTAAAATTTTATTATTCCACTCTCTATCCTGAAGTAACATACTTATTATATGTCTTTCTGAATTGCGCCATTTCAGAGTTAGCCCCTGCCATGATTTTTATATAATGTTCAAGCTACATTTAGACAAAACGTTATTACATTATGCCAAGAGGTAATAAACCAACTGCAAGTATTGCTTTATATATGGACATCATGGTAGGATTACAAAATTAGCTTACTCTTGCATAGATTACATCTTAATATTTTCTCTTAAAATTTTAAGTCGACCCCTTATCATTAATTTCAGTTATTTCGGGCAATTTCACTTCTTCTTCCTTCGGCTTTCCGAGAGATTTCAGTTTAAGGTTTTTAGTTTTTGTATCACAGCAGGGGAATATGTTTGTATAATTTGTCTGATGAAGTTCTTATGCAATTAATCATGATTAGTTCAAGATGTTTAAATTCAGCGACCGATCCCTTGTTGCTCCATCACATTAAAAAGCACATTCGTATTCTTGGTTAATGTAGTGTAAATTAAATTATATCCACCTACCTCACTCTTTAAGCGCTAGATAACCAAATTTATGATCGTGGAGTATAACTAAATTTGCGATCGGGGAATAGTATTAAATAAACAAAAATTTACTTGTAATTTCTTATCACTCTTGAATTAGTATATTTTACTTTAAAATCTCGTTGCCTTTTATTAGGTTTGTTTCATTATGGTACAGATCTAACAAGCGATTATTTTTGCAAAATTATTTTTTACACAGATTAATTTTGAAAAGTTTTAAATATTGCTTAGTTCTCAGAACTTTAGGAAAGATAGAAATTATTACGCAATTTTAGAACCTTAAAAGTTGTAGAAATATTAGGTTTTTTTGGAAACAAGAGAGATTGAAAAATTTGCAACGCCTTCGCCAAGAACCGAGCCGCGGACCTCTCGAATACGCGCTGAGTGGGCTGACCACTACACCACAAAGGTTCGATAAGAAGGCGGGAGAAATACCTTATAAAGTAACGACTTCAAAATTTCTTCTCTCGATTAAGCCAAGAACTTTGAATTCAGGGACTCCCACTAAAATTAATAGGACCCTTACTTCAAGCGAAACACCCACAAATGTATCGATTTTTACTCAGGTTAGAGCACGCCTTGTCCACTTCTTCCTTTTTTTTTACGTAAAAAATGCTCATTGCAAGTACATATGACCCTCTACAATAATAAAATAACAAAGAAGTGAAGAAAAAAACTTCAACATAAATGAGCAAGCCACCAACTCAGAGCAATAAAATGCGCAATTTTTTAATGTCACATTAAAAGTGATATTTTAGATTTTATATGATGAGGAGAGTTTATGCCTTGGCTTTACCTTTTTGATTATCTCTCAAAATACGTATTCATGTTCTTATTCGAGATTTTAGCAGCAGCTCTTTCCCTTATTCTAGGACATTCTTTTCATTGTCTAGCAACTACATTGTTTTTGCCGCCCAAAGTGATAGTGGTTAGCGTACCGAAGGACCGTGAAAAGCCCAGTCTCGAATCTCGGAGAAGGCATGAGGACATTCTAAATATATGGCGAGAGCTGAAAGTACTCTCGTGTGGTGTGATGATAGGGAAAGAGGGGTGGAAGACCCTTGGATGGCCGCCTAGGTAGTTTCTCTTAAAGTTGGGGTGGAACTGGGCAAAATCGTATTTGTTACCTAAATGGTGCCCAGGGCTCTTGCCAACGAAAGACGAAATCTTGTATTCCTTGTCATGATAAAATTCGTAGGTTTTCTCTGATTAGTTCAGACGCGTGAGATTAGACACAACTACACAATACTATTTTTAATCTTCCTTTTTTTCCATAAGCAGCTCAAGAGAATGTACGATCAGCCCTTGAAATATGCAGGTTTAAAATGCGTAAGTCTACTTACATGGGGATTTTCCCTGCAAATATATTAGGAAATGTTTTGGAGATAAGCAGCAATTTGAAAAATAGATAAACAGTATAGCTTACGAGCAATAAAAAAACTTTAAATTGTGACATATAGTATGAACGTATAAAATGCGTAGAAGCATTAGTATATTTAATTATATAATGCCAAAAATTAAACTCGAATCTGTTACAGAATGTTTAAATTTACTAAGATGTGACGAGCCCATTAGCGCTTGAATATATAAGATCGCAGAACTAGTAGTTTGTCGAGGTTTCAAATCTTAGCGAACACTCTGGCAGCATAGCAGCATTCGGGTTATTCTTTGTGTGTAACGGAAATATGAGCCATTTTCCTTCATAAAGTCCTTCACGAAGGACTTCCTTCCCTTAGGCAAATAGCCCTCGCGTATTTTGACTCTATAAGCAATATATGACTACCGCTTCTATGAGAGAATTGAAAAGAAAAAAAGCAGAGAAAGAGGGAGTGAAAAAAGATAAATTACATCTATTTAAAATTTACTGTAATACGTACTGTGTGGCTATTTTAGTAATTTTACTCTATCTTGTATCACTGGTGTTGTGATGAATATGGATGCTGCGAGCATTCCCTTAAAACAGTACCTTGTAAACCCTTTTCATCTTTACCTGAACTGTTTATCAATCCAGGAAACTAAATATTGCTGTAAAAGGTGAATTTTCAGGTCATTCTGTGCTTGGGAATCATACTGAGAAAACCGAAATCCTACAGCTGTTAGATTCCATCGGAAATCGATTCTTCGACTATGAAAAGCAACAAACAGAGATAAAACGTGATTCTTCTCCATCGTGCTTTTTACAATCACGTAAATGTTACATAACGCAGAAAGACTCATGCGAAAAACATGCCTCCAGTTATGCTAAAATTACTTGCAAGAAGAAAAGAAAAATCAAGGAAGTAATCGAATTTCTTCAAGAATATTACATAAATTTTTAATGGAATTACTTTTCCAATTCTGAATTATGAACAGAGTACTGCGAGCAGAGAATTAAACTTACGAATTGACTGCCTAAAACTTATGATTTTTCTTTTTTCATAATTTCCAATTTTAATCTATTTTCTTTTCTCTTACTCACAATGTAATAAGAATAAAACAAATAATGCATATACTAAGTATGTCGTTGTTACTTAACTGGTTATCCATTAGGCTAGACCAGATCCATGTGTCCAAGATCCTTGTGTCATAATAAATCTAAATGTACTGTACACTTTATGTCACTGGTAAGGCTTTTAGTCAATAGTAGGTTAGTAATAGCTCAATTTTGGAAGAAAAAACTTACGCACGAATTTGAAGCTGTGAGTAATGATGGCGCTTCTAAGCCTCGTGTATATCAAAGATCATTTGCAGTGCAAACAAATCGAAAGATACTTGCGAAATGCATTCCAAATTTTTAGGCTACTTTGTAATTCAGGTAAATGTTATGCTATTAGAAACATGTATACTGTATAGTACATAGTTTTATAGGTACTGATACATCAGTTTATCTGACAGATGGTTAAAATGATAACTCGACAAGTAGAGAGTCAGTGGTCTACTTTCCACGATATCAGACTTAATGTTGCACAGCCAGTATCTCTGGATTAAAATTTTGTGACATCAGCCTTATTGTCGTAACGTTTTCAAAAAACTCTTAACCAGCATCTAGGGTTTCATTCAGTATCTTTTAGTTAACTTAAATGTGAGTCAGTATCATTGGATTTCAGAATTAGTATCTTTTAACAAGCTTAAACGTCAATCAGCATCTTTGGGCTCCAGAGTCAGTATCTTTTAATAAACTATTCAGTTGTAGAGTCATTAGGTTATTTCGAAGCATGAGAGATGAAAAATGAGCAACGCCTTCCCCGGGACTCGAACCATGGACCTCTCAAATACCCGCCGAGTGTGCTCACCACTACACAACGAAGGTATGCTAAGAAGGCTGGAGAAATACCTTATCAACTCACTACTTAAAGCGCTCTCGATAAATTCCTTGCAGCAGAAAAATCATCAAAGCAGTTAAATTACAGCATTTTTTTGTATTAAATTTCCCATTTATACAAGACGCAACCGCAGTGCGAGAAATTTATTTTCTACACTTGATCCTCATTCTAAGAATAGAAAATGAAACCTTTCTGAAAAGTTATGAGGCTGTCATAGAAATGGGAAATCGAGAGTGTTTTGCTCTCTTACATTTCGAAAATATTCACATACCTTTTTCTTTATTTGTTGCCCTTTATCGTCTAGGAATCAATTTACGGCTGAATTGGAAGGCAGTAAAAGAGTTTTTATATTTCTCCCGATGGAAAACTAAAATACTAACATTTTTATATGAATAATTTCAATGAAATCTTTCTTAATAAACTTTAAGCTTTTAACACAGCAGAATAATAGCTTTTATATTTTATGAAACAAAATAATTCTTTCATGTTGCCTATCTGGAAATTATGAAAATCGAATTTTTTTAATTCAAATTGTCTTCGTTCGGTGTTTATTAGATTTTAAAGTTTATCAAAATGGATTCTACGTTTTTTAGGGGAAAAA